GATGGGTGACTTTTTACAACTTTCTCCCATCTCCCGACTGCATCTCTGGAGCTCAGCCACAGTCATCTTTGGGTTCTTCTGTACCTCTCTCACCAAGGCTCTTCTCCCCCGATAGCTCAGTTTGGTCGGACGGCCAGCTCTAGGAAGGGTTCTGGTCGTCCCAAACGTCTTCCATTTAAGGATTATGGAGGTCACTGTGCTCTTAGGAACCTTAAGTGCAGCAGAAATTTTTTTGTAACCTTGGCCATATCTGTGCCTTGCCACAATTCTGTCTCTGAGCTCTTCAGGCAGTTCCTTTGACCTCATGATTCTCATTTGCTCTGACATGCACTGTGAGCTGTAGGGTCTTCTATAGACAGGTGTGTGGCTTTCCTAATCACGTCCAATCAGTATAATCAAACACAGTTGGACTCAAATGAAGGTGTAGAACCATCTCAGGGATGATCAGCAGAAATGGACAGCACCTAAGTTAAATATATGAGTGTCACAGCAAAGGGTCTGAATACTTATGACCATGTGATATTTCAGTTTTTCTTTTTTAATAAATCTGCAAAAATGTCAAAAATTCTGTGTTTTTCTGTCAATATGGGGTGCTGTGTGTACATTAATGAGGAAAAAAATGAACTTAAATGATTTTAGCATATGGCTGCAATATAACAAAGAGTGAAAAATTTAAGGGGGTCTGAATACTTTCCATATCCACTGTATATGCGTACAGCAGAACATCTGCTTTGTACAACTGCAAAATACTGCTTGACATTATGTTTCCTGAACTTGTAGAATTGTTAGAATTATGATATAAACAAACTCCAGTCTGTTTACATGTCAAGGGAAGTGTCCGGTGTAGAAATTGAGTTCCCATAATACAACACATATTGTGTCTTTGGGCTCCTTTCTCACTAACAAGAAGCTGAAATGTCCAAAATGCATGAACATGTGTGCATGTAGTGGAAAGACAAAAGCACTTAACTGTGTCCAAGAGTTGCTATTACAAGCTTTAATAGCACAGAGACAGTATAGTGTACGTGAGTTACTGAGACAGAGAGTTTCTTAATGCATGTTACCATTTGATGCTTTCTATGGGTAGGATGCTTGAGTGCCTTAAACAGAAATAAGAAACAGGCTTGACAAGTGGAGAAAAAGTACATCTGAAAGACACTAACAGAAACAGCTGTTGTTATTGGACAAAAGCATCTTTTTGACATTTCTTCATGTTTAATTTAAGTTTAAGAGGTATGTGTAAATGCATGTCTTTCAGCTGCAGGGTAAGGCTGCACTTCAGAGCTCAGGGTTTTCATATTCATCCAAAGTTGCTTCATGGCTCAAAATAAATGAACAATGTGTAGTGAATAAACACATATATGACTCACATGTAATTACATAGATTACACATGCACTCACAGACACACGAGAACTCTCATCTATTTCTCTCACAAGTCCATAATTAAATACCACTTATCATTCATTCATTCATTTTCTACCGCTGAATCCCTGAGCAGGGTCACAGGTGGGGCCGAAGCCATTCCTGGCCGGCAATCGGGCGAAGGCGGGGGACACCCTGGACAGGTTGCCAATCCATCGCAGGGCTAACACATAGACAAACAACCACACACTCCTATGGGCAATTTAGAGACACCAATCAACCTAAGCTGCATGTCTTTGGACTGTGGGAGGAAGCCGGAGTACCCGGAGAGAACCCACGCAAGCACGGGGAGAACATGCAAACTCCACACAGAAAGGTCCTAGGTGGGGCCCGAACCTGGAACCTTCGCGCTGTGAGGCAACGATGCTAACCACTGCGCCACCGTGCTGCCCTATACTTATCATTAATACGCTTAATTCTATTAGCAGTCTCTCCCTGCCAGACAAATTAGGGTCTTGATCAATAATGTGGCATATGTGAAGCTGAGTGGTCCAGCAGGGAATGGGAGCCTGGGAGACAGCTGTGTAGCTTTTACTGACACATCTTTAAATCTTCATGCCCGAGAAAATGGGCCATGCAGAAAGGTTTGTGGTTAGCAGAACATTTCACTTCCTTGAGAAGAGTAACATTCATAACCACTAGATAAAGTATGTGGGCAGTAAAATTCTTGCATGCCCACACCAAGCAAAAGCACAGGAGATGGTCAGAGGAGACAAAAAAGTGCAAAGAGACATAAAAATTTCATGACCTGAATAAATCCTGAATTAATCTTATACACATCTATATTTGTCATTTGTTTCACATTAATATGCAGCTATAAAACTAGAGTCATCACCTAAAAATGCAAAGAACCATGTGACACCTGTCACCATTTCAACCTTGAAACAAACTTAAAGGAAACCACAAAGTTGAAAGCATATTTTAAATGGGTATGGTCATCAACCTTTTTTCTTATTAACCTTCACAGTTTAACTGAGGTGGCATATACAGCTGATTTAGTCTGTTTTGAACTGCAGTTCTGATTTATTTTTAACAGGCAGTGTCACTGACCCTATGACTATGACTATGGTCATGAACTTTATGACCGAAAGGGCAAGATCCCGGATACAGGCGGCCGAAATGAGCTTTCTCCGCAGGGTGGCCGGGCGCACCCTTAGAGATAGGGTGAGGAGCTCGGTCACCCGGGAGGAGCTCAGAGTAGAACCGCTGCTCCTCCACATCGAGAGGAGCCAGCTGAGGTGGCTCGGGTTTTTTCCTTCCTAGGGAGGTGTTCCGGGCATGTCCCACCGGGAGGAGGCCCCGGGGAAGACCCAGGACACGCTGGAGGGACTATGTCTCTCTGCTGGCCTGGGAACGCGTCGGCCTTCCCCCGGAGGAGCTGGAGGAAGTGGTTGGAGAGATGGAAGTCTGGGCATCTTTGCTTAGACTGCTGCCCCCGCGACCCGGTCCCGGATAAGCGGAGGAAAATGGATGGATGTCACTGACATCAGCAGAACTGAATGAGCAGAGAAGGTGACAGCCGGAGTAGCACAAACAGCATTGCCTTGAAAAAGTTTATTTTATTTTATTCAACTTTTTGTAACAAATTCAGCAGGTCAAGGCAAATAAAGCACATTTCCATCATCTGTTTAAAATAAACTAAGCATGGAATAACATAAAATATTAAAATATGTAGGAAAGTTGAGCCCTCTGGACCTGTATTCAAAAATGGGTCAAACAGTCTTTACAAATGATTGTGCTTGTTTCAATTAAATTTACTGCATTGCCACAAATAAAACTGTGTTATTGATCAGAGAATCATATAGCTTAACTGAAAATTATAATTAATATTTAATTATTAATTAAAGATACTATGTATAGTTTGAAAATTCCTGACTTTGGCATTGCTATTGGTTTAATTGAGAAATGTACCAATATTTAGACCCTGGGACTGAAAGCTATTGGATGCACCGGTATTCACCAGGATTGTCTTACATTTGGTAGATGAAAACTTATGCAAGCAGAATAATAATGACAAACGCTGTGGTCACATAAAAATCCTACATGTGGTGGCTTTAACTTGTTTTTCTGCTTGAATATCCAGTAGTTCCATCCAATTAAAACAAATTCCAAAATGCATTCACATTTATTATTTGACCCATTTTATACTACGTTTTCTCTGAGACTCTCTCTACCACAGCAAACATGCACTACATTATGGGGAGACTGTGGTTCAGTGGGTAGAGCAGTCATTTCCCAACCGGAGAGTTGGAGGTTCAAATCTTGGTGCCTGCAGTCCATATGTCGACATATGGACTGCAGGCACCATTCTGTGCCACAAGTCTGAGGAGTATATGGAAAGACCGTTGTACACTCCATGCACTTTTCATGCAGTCATCCTTTGTTACAGTAGACAATATGGCACCCTGTCACTCTTAAATAACTAACTTAAAAGCGAAAAAAATCAAGTACACTGTTTCCCAGTGTCCTGAAAAGAAAAAAAAAACATGTCATGTTGGCTTGTACATGAAAGAACTGTTTATTTCTTATATGCCGAACAATGTCGCTTCCCCAAACAAATTCACAATTATAAAAAAAGATTAGGACAGAGGCTCAGTTCTTCCTGTGCTTTGATACAAAATACAAAATTACAATAACAGCAGGAACAAAAAATTATTTACCCTATATGGTGCCCAGCATCTGAAGAAAAAACTAGTCAACCATTAAAATGCCACTTTGGGACATCGAGTCCTCAAGTCTTTTTCTAAGACTACTCATCTTTATGTTAGTGTCTTGCCATTTGAGAGGACAGAGAGACTTTGTATCAAATGTGGGCCACTGTTCCCTTGGCTTGGTACTTGGCAAGTATAGTACAGTTACCAAGAGATGACTTCAGGCAGCCTCTCTAAAGAAGCAGGAGCCTGCTTGCAGTTGCTATTGCCAAATGAAAATTGAGGTACATATATGTGATGATTTTTGAAGCAAATGGTTTATATTTGATTATAAATATTAATGCTTCCTCCTTTCCCTTCAAGTGGACTCAAAACAATTCACATTAACTATGAAAATCACATTTGGCAAACAAAAACAATACAATGGTATCCAAGTGTATTCACTTTCCCTTTTCAGTGAAGGGTTGAAATACTAAACATTCTAGGGGATATAGTACTTAAGACTGTTTCTAATGGCCCCTGCTTTGAACTAAAGTTCTGTTTGGCACCAGAGAATGGCAATCAAGTGCTTGGCTGAATAAAAACAGAAAATAGTCATTTCATATAAGCTGGCTTGCATGCTTTCTCCCCCCTGCCATTTTTTCCCCTCCATTAAGTTTCAGTTGTAGTCAAGCTACTAGGTACCAGGCCACAATTATCTTTGTGCTGATCATCGCATTTTGCCAGTGTTTCAGTGCGTTTTATTACACCTCAACTCGTGTTCCACTGCTTCTGAGACAGAACAAAGTCCCAGTGCTGTCATTCAGATACAGAAGTTAGCAGGTAGCATATATCCCCCACCCCTTACTCTACCCTAAGACCTTTCACCTTTATCAATCCCAATTCATAAAAAAACACACACATCCATGCACACAATTTCAGAAAGAGAGATATGGCACGGGTGGGGAATATATGGTTATTTTACATTGCATGTGTATGTGTGTGAGTGTGCATGCACCAAAACCCTGACAGCTTTCTACTGCTTCCCAACCTAAATGCTGTCATCTGTTTACTGTAACCCACTGAATTTTAGCTGACTGCTGTCACTCCTCAAATTAGTCTAACGTCCCCCCTTCCTGGGGTGGGCAGCGTCCCACCCTCATGCGCAGTGTGCCGCTTTTGTGTAGGTGCCAAAGCTGGACAAACTCCTCGGGCATGGCGTGGAACCATTTACAGGGCAGGATGTTGTCATAGTAATGGTGGCTGACTGGGTGCTCATCTAGGCCGACTGAGAACGGCCAGAAGCCGTAGACTGTCACTTCCTCGCACAGCCCCAACGCCAAGCTGACCAGGTAAAGCCCAGTGGAGAGGCGTTTGGCGTGCACGCCACGGCCTTTCCAGAATTTGCCCACAGTAGAAAGGAATTCGGGGTTGGCAAAGAGCATGGTGAGGTTGGAAGAGGTGTCAGCCAGGGTATAATACGCCCGCAATGATGGGTCAGTGCCCGGCTTCATGGTGAATGCGGGCATGTAGACATAGCTGGAGCCGTACACCTTCATACTGTCCACGAAAGCTTTTCTCGACCACAGAAGATTCTGAAATCTGAGTAACAAAGACAGAGCGATAGGCTATAGCTTAGTCTTTATTTCATGGTCTAACAAATACACTTTGGGGTCATTCATGATCTGATGACTGGTTGAGTCATCTGCAGGCCTGTCTGCTCCCATTTCCCTTTTTGCCCTCTAGCTATAAAGAAAATGAGTGTCCTGTGCTGTCACATGCAACACTAGTGAATCACAACAGATCAGAGCTGGGTTGAAAAATACTTCCTCTATTTTGTATAGGCGTAGCCCTCTAAGAGCTGTCGCTATTGGGTTTATCCCTCGTGCATGCTAAGTCCTGAAGAGATTCTTTCGCGCCCTGTGCCCTGCACTGGGCTGTCCCCAAAACAGGTCCGCTGCGATGGCATAAATGCCACTGTGACCTGTGATCAGCTCCCTCTTTTTCTGCAGCAGTCTAAGAAGAAACATCATGGATAAGTACAGCCTTTTATCATGGCTGAGAGCCATTCCTCACTGCCAGACTCCAGTGCTGCGCCGCCGTCACTGTGTGCCCTGGCTGTGATCTGGGTTTTATAACATGTTCACATGCCAAGCCAGCGCTCGCCCCCAGGCAGCTTGCCCTCCTTGGTGCTCGCTTGCCCACAGCGGAGAAGCGCCTGGCAGTGGCGTTTGCAGCTAGTGGCTAGGCTAGGCTAGACTAGGCTAACCACGGTGACGGCGCGTGCACCCCTGGACTTCTCGGCGTGAGTGGGCCTGAGTCCCCTGACTCACTCCCTGCCATTG